TCTCACCCTCCGCATCTCTGGCCTGTACCCCAGTTCTGTACAAATAAATAAATCTTTAAAAAAATAATAAAAAAATAAAAATAAATAAAAAAAAATAACCTGAATCATTGTATTGCTTAGCTTAAAACCCATGGCAAAAGAAAGAAAATGAAATGCCATGTGTGAGCCACTTCAGGATAACTGTTCTCAACAATCCACTCTTAGGAGCCAACCCCAACTCACTGGGACAACAGTTGTCAGCCGGAACCTTATTTGGGCAGTCTGCAATCTGCTGACAAACATACTGCTGAATGGCAGGATTTTTAGCTACTGAAGTCACCCTACACTTAATGTGCAGCAGCAAAGTTGCCCCATTAATTAAAAGGCAAACACAACTACAAAACTTCTTACAATACCTAAAAATCCTTTGTCTCACAGAACAACCTCTATCTTTTTATCACTGCTAGTGTTCCAGTATGTCTAGTTCCTTTCTATGGACTACAACCATATGCGGGTCAAGAGATAACCCAGTCAGGTTTTCAAATATACCAATAAAATGGAGCTGCTGGTACTCATATTAGCAAACCTTTACAAATCTCAACTGAAGCTAATATATGTGGTTCCTTTAATACAGCACTTTAATGTGCTTCAATTCACAAGATGGCAAGCATTGCAAAACAAAATTAAAACTGTTCCCCATCTCAGATCTTAACACGTCATAGGTGGAAAACACACTCGAATCTTTCCCACACGGGTCTAGATTCTGCTTATAGTCCTCCATTAACATCAAACTTACACACTGATAATTGTAACTACTAAAAGATCTTTTTTTCTGACTATGTCAAATTCTGAATTCCGGGCCTTCCCTGATGGTGCAAAGGCTTACAATGCAGCACTGCAAGCTGGTGGCAGCCGCTTCAGTGTGAGTTCTATCCCCTGCCCCGGTGGTGACCCACAGGGTGCGGCAGACCTCTCCTGACCCGTCCGCTGCTCCCCTCAGCAGTGTACTTCGTCTATCTGCCTGCTCTGCTCTGCTCCCCACTCTGTCTCTGGTGAAGCCTCTTACCAACCCGGCACCTCTGGCTTGTACATCAGTTCTGTTGAATAAATAAATCTTTAAAAATAAAATTCTGAATTCCCTGTAACAACTTTGTGATAGTCCCTGTTCTTATTACTCTTCTACAAGAGATTTTCATATGATTAATACTATGTACTCAAAAAACCAAACCTTTCTCATCTACTCAGTCATTTCTCTCTCATACACTCCTATAACCCAGAACCTTCTTTTTTAACATGGTACAACACACCAAAGCCCCCTAATAAATGACATGTAACTGCAATGTGGTACTCTGGATTGGATCACAAGCATCCATTACAGTGGAAAAACTACAGCAATCCAAAAGAAGTCTAGAAGTTAGTAGTAATGAAACAGTGTTGGTTCCTTAGTTTAATAAATGTATTCTGGTAACTGAAGACACTACATTAGAGGAAGCTGGGTAGAAGGTATAGTGTAACTTTCTGAACTGTCTTCAGGACTTTTATTAAGTCTGGAATAAAGCCTGTTTTTCAAAGTCTCTAGTACTTAGTTTCAGACTGCTTCTGCTAGAGCAACTCATGAGTTGATATAATTAATAATCAATAATTTTCAGCAAATAAGAAACGAGACATTAAAAGCAGAATCCACTGAACTTAATCAAAATTTAAAACTTTGCTCTGTAAAGGATTCTGCTAAGTGAATGAAAAGACAAGTTACAAACTGGGAGAAAATATCTGAAACCACTTACCTGACAAAGAACTTGTGTCTAGAATAATTACCAAAACTCAACAGTAAAAAGCTAAAACAAGTCAGCTAGAGCAAGACAGACATTTCACTGCGAATATACAGATGGCAAATGAGAAGTGGAAAGACTACTAACCTTAAAGAAGTATACACGAAAATCATTAAGAAATATCACTACCAGAAATCAGAATGACTACAATAAAAGAAATAACAGCTCCAGTAAAGGCAGAGAACTGGGTGACTGGTTCGCTGCTCGCAGGACTTATAGTGGTTCAACCAATAATGGGCTTGGTGACGATGGAAGCGATTTTGGAGACAGCAGAAGCTACAATGATTTTGAAAATAACAACAATCTTCTACAAAAGATGGAAATTTTGAAGGCAAAGCTCGAGCCTCTAGGGTGGTGCAAATACTCGCCAAACCACAAAACCAAGGTGGCCGTGGTGACTCCGGCAGCAGAACTGGCAGAAGGTCTTAACTAACTGCCAGGAAACAAAGTGCAGCAGAAGAGCAGAGCCAGAGTGATGGGGAAGCTACAGGTCACAGCAGACTGCTGAAGCGCCGAGCTCAGGGGTGGCTCCTCCCCCAGAGCACCAGCATGCAGCATCGTCTCACACAATACTCATGTGTATAGGCCCAAACTCCAGGGCTGTATTTGTGACTAACTGTGCAACTGGTTATTCTAGTTTCTGTTCTGTGAAAAGTTAATAAAGCATTCCAACAAAGGGTTTTAAATTAATTTTGTTTTGCACCCATACACCTGATAAATAGAACAGTCTGATCATGACACCGATAAATGTGTCTTTTAAAAATAAAAAAATAAAATGGTGCCGCCACTATGCAAAAATTTGGCACGTCTTTAAGACACCACACATGCAGGAGGAAGGGACCCAGTGCCGAGGGTGAAGGAACATGGATGCTTTGCTGGGGTGGTACTGTAACACACACCTGAGGAGGTGCACACCTATTTCCCTAACCCACATAGACTAGTGTAAATCAATTATTACCTCAATAAAGAAAAAAACTAAACATGCATCTACTGAAAGACCAGCAACTGCACTAGTGGGGATTTTTCTCTGAGAAGTGAAAACTTATGTTCACACACAAATAAAAAAACCACATACACAAATGCTCACAGCAGCTATTTCCAATAGTCAAAAAGAAGAGACACCTAGAAGTCCTTCCCTGAGCTGAAGAAACGATGGTACATCCTGACCACAGGACACTATTCAGCAATAAAAAGAAATGAACTATTGATACACATAAAAATACAGGTAAGTCTCCAAGCAATCAATTATGCTGAACGACAAAATCCAATCTCAAAAGGTGACACATGATTCCATTACTTAACACTCTTAAAATGACAAAATTACAGAAATAGGAGACATTATTAGTTGCTAGGAAATAGGGCTTTGGAAAGAGGGTGGTGCAGGGAAGTGGCTGTGGGCTAAATGAGAGATTGTGGAATCCTGGTGGTAGAAAAGCTCTGTGGCCTGGTGTGGTGGTGGTAACACAGGTACTGCATCCTGCCTCAACATACACCTCGCACACACACGCACCAAGGAGCACATGTAAAACTGGCGACATGTGAATAAAGCAGTGGATGATATCAATGTCAACTACCTAATTATATTACGGCTACATAATATGTTACCATTGGGACAAAAAGTATGAAGGGCATGTGAATTAGCTAAAAAAGGTGCCGAGGAGAACCCGATTATAGAGCGGCACTTATGCTCACTGTGGCTGAATGAGAAACAGTGCTTTTGACTAGGGAGCACCTAGAGCACCTCATGATCCAGGGCACTTGCTACCTGGTGCTCACCAGCCTTGCACAGTCCAGAAAGAGACCTGAACACTTAAGCCAGTTACAATCCGCAGTAACAGTATCCGAGCTGTACTTACTTTTGTGCACTGTGTAGCAGGCAGAAGGTCAACAAATACCTTGAGGTCTGTAAAACAACAAGGCTTATCCCCAAACTTTTTAAAATACTGGAACATTAACTCTTCTGGATCACCTAAAAGAAAAAATTCACTAAATTATTCATGGGAAGAAGCAGCTTTTAACTTAAGGAAGAAGCCTGATGGAAAAAACATTTACCTCAAATACATTAAAAATTTCCTTCAATGACTGAATGAAAATAGCAAACAGGGCAGGACTTACTTGTTTAAAAATAAACAAATATTTAAAAAAGCAGTTCAATCTTATAAACTCAGCTTACCAGTAATTACTTAAGAACTGTGAAGTTATTCATTGAATTAAAGTTTAAATAGATAAAAAGCTGTCAGTGAGAATTAAAGAACTAAGGCTACATGCAAATATTAAAGAATTAAGGTTATATGCAAATATGAAACAAACCCTTCTCTCCCAACAGCTGACCATTTCACAAATATTAAACTTTAACTAAATAAAAAGTAATGTCTGTTAACAGGGACACTAACAGTTGAATAGAAATGGGAGTGTCCTTCACCAAGTACACTCACTGTGGAGATGTTAAACCTGCACATGCAGAAAGTTACTAGTTCACTTTGTTTTTTCTCAAGTTAAAAACAACAAATGTTCTCAAATTGAACTAGATTTAAGAAGTACAGTTTACAAGACTGAAAGTCTCAGTTTGCGTTCATGTTTCTGTTTTAATTAGATTCCAATAGGACTTGGTAAAATGAAACCGTTAACTCTTACTCACGACCTAGCTTTAAAAAAAAAAATATGTTGGAGACTAGACAAATTCACAATTTTGTGAGATTTGAGCTAGTGAGAAGGGAAAGATAGGGATGATATAACAAGTATCAAAGTAAATCCAAATATTTTTATATCCAGCTTTAGAAAAAGAGAGATTTTTAGGCCTCTATTTTAATACATTCCTGAAGGTCACATGAAAAAGCTCATTTGTGAATCTGGAACCAAGACTGAGGTTTCTGAGGCAGACCCAAAGAAAGAATTCAATGGAATTCAAAACTGATTATGAATCAACTGCATAGAGGATGAAGAAGAGAAGCCCACCGTACATTTTAGAATGAGTTTCAAAGAACATTAAGCAGATGATGAAAATGGTCAGATATTTTAGAATAGGTTTTAGGTACATCATATAGTGGGAAAACCGGTCTCTAAAAAAATTCACTTACTTGCTGTAACAATGGGGGTGGGAGATTTCTTTAGCACTTTATCTTAAAACAATGAAACTAAGAAGTTAAGGATATTTATTATGTATGCTAAAGCTAACAAAATTTAGAGTATAGCTAAAAATACAAGCTAATGCTAGTTTGAGCAAAGAATTGCTGCTTTTAAGAATGAGGAGCCATTTTTCCATAGAAATATAAACTGGCACAAGAAGAAACTTTATTTTTGTGTAGTAATGCTAGAGAACCAATTTCAAAAGCATCTGAGCTTCATCAAATTTTTTTTTAGAGACTTATTTAGGTATGCATACAAGAACCAGGGTACAAGCCAGAAGTGCCAGGGTGAGAGGACTCACCAAACACAGGATGGGGAGCAGAACAGGCAGATCTACTCAAATATACTGCTGAGGGGAGCAGAGGGTGAGACAGGAGAGGTCTGCTGTGCCGTGTGGGTCACTCCCTTGCATCACCCAAGAGGTCCCTTCATCAACTTTCTTTGGGGCCAGTGCTTTGCTATTCAAATCATTCTTTTCTCTCACCATTATTTGTAATTTTCTCTTCAATTGCTAATTGCTCTGATTTTGCCAGATAGTCTTTTCATTGGTACTAATCAAATCCTGAAACTTTAACAAAACCAGTTGTTTTGAACATTATCCAGTGAGCAAGAGAATGTCTGACAAAGACCTTGACAGAATAGGCAAGAGATGCTAAAGTTAAACCAGGTCGAACATGTGACTGAAGGTTACTTGTATGTGATCCACTTATTAGTAAACAGTTTTAGGTTATGAAGACATTTGCTTCCAAACGTGACTGTCATTGCAGGCCTCAGAGCAAGACTATGATGCTCGGGCAGGCAGGCACCCCTGCGCCTCGTCCAGCATTCGCAGATGTGTAGCAGCTTCTTACCCAGTTGGTACTCATCATTAAAACCCTGACAGCGTAAGCGCCTGATCAGCTCCAATTTAGCTAGATGTGGGCCTCGGAGATGGCGAGAACTTTTAGATTCTTCTGTTATTCGATCTTCTATAAACTTCACAGCTTCTTCTGCAGAATAATGTACTTCTCCTTCCAAAGAGCTGGATATAAACACATATATTATGTTTCAATTATTTATATAAAACCAGAATCAAGCCAAAATGATTGCAAGAAACTAAAACCAAAGAAAAAACACTTTGGTAATTATAAAACACAAATGGGAATAAAAGAGAGCTATGAATAAATTTTGACAGATAACAGGGCATATGATTACTCTGTTATTTGATTATTACAGAGAAACTATCTCTGCATCTTTCTTTAAAAAAATGTGTAATTTTGTATATATAAAATGTTGCATAATAATAATACAAGCAGATGTTATTGCTTGAAGAATAAAGGTTGAGAAAATTTTATGATCTAATTATTATAAAGTAACCATCAGTTCATATTTGGTAACTAAACCCTATTTCTGTATTCACATTTTTTTTAAAGATTTATTTATTTATGCATACAGAACTGGGGCACAGGCTTGAGGTGCAAGGTGGTAAGGAGATTCACCAGAGACAGATTAGATTGGGAAGCAGAATAGGCAGACTGATTAAGTCCACTGCTGAGGGGAGCAGAGGGCCAGACAGGAGAGGGCTGCTGCGCCCTGTGGTCACCTCCATGGCTAGGGATCGAACTCCATGGCTAGGGATCGAACTCCATGGCTAGGGATCGAACTCGTGCTAAAATGGCAACGGCTAGCTTTGAAGTGCTGTGTTTTAACCTGTTGGGTAACCAAAAAGGGCCCTGTATTCACAAACTACAAAGATTTCAACAAGGAAAAAAAACTGTTTATTTTTATTACTATGTGTATAACAGCCAGAGTAAGAAAAGGAAGTCAATACAAGACCCCATCAAACAGGTACCAGGTTAAATGATTATGGTATACTTCTAAAATGGACTGCTTAAATCACTGAAAAGAATGGAACAAATCTATAGTTCCTATATTGGAAGACACCCAAGAACCTTTTTTATAAATTTCTACCCCGAGGAACCTGTAGTCCTAACCACCATAGCCCGCTGGAATCCTCATCTCTAACACAAAGTTGCAAATTATGTTTATGTAAATTATTAAATTATGAGAGTGATTATGTTAATACATAGGCAAAAATAAATCTGAAGGGAAATATACCACAATGTATGAAAAGTTATTTATGGGTCAATTTCATCTCAATCTTTTTACAAAAAAAAAGTTATTTCTGGGGTGGTAACTACAAGCTAACACTGCACCATTCGTTTATGCACGAATTTAAATTTTTACAATGGATGTGTTGATATTTTTCAATTGAAAAAAAAATTCTTGCTTTGAAAGCTACACTTGAAATAGAAAAAGAGATTTCAGTTAGATTTACAATGAAATCCTTTTGTTATGACACATTAACTACTGCTGGTGTAATTCAGAAAAGAAGATGACTTACTGTTCACCTTCAGCAGGAGGCGTCCAGGCCTCTTCAATCAGTCGAAAGACGGAATCGAAGTAAGTCATGTAGAACTGCCAGTCATCTGAGCTAAAATCAGATTGAATGGTACACACAGGATTAAACCCAAGTTGTGACAAATCTTCCACCGGACCCATTAATATTGAACAATTATTTTCTAAGTTACATTTTAGTCTTTAGGAGAAGAGGCCCAGTGCTCAGTCAGCATTTCCTCTAGAGTCCTACAAAGATAGCGTTTCAGAGGCATTCTCAAAGCAAAAAACTTTTAAGACACTAGTCTTTCCTTCAATAAAATGACCAGGTCTAATATTCTCAACAGAAAATTCCCACATTGCCATATCCTAAAAGGTGATGATGGGACATGCCCTTTTAAGCCAATACCAAATTCAGCAAATTAACAAGATCTAATACTAGAGGGCACCCTGATGGCTTAAGTAACATTATAACTCTTTACTAAAAGATAAAGGGTACATCCAAACTTTAAAAACAGGGCCTCCTTGGTGGCGCAGGATTTAAAGACACAGTGTTATCAGCTATCACCAGCCACTGCAACATGAGTTTGATCCCTGGCCAGGCAGCTGACCCACATACACAGCAGGCTCTCCTGTCTCACCCACTGCTCCCCTCAGTCAATCTACCTGTTCTGCTCCCCCCTCAGTCTCTGGTGAATCCTCTCACCCCCCACACCTCTGACCTATACCCCAGTTCTATATGCATAAGTAAATCTTTAAAAAAAAGATTTGACTTTATGCATAGAAATTTCAAAACAAAAAGTAAAATCAACAATGAGCCCTGAAAGTCTCACTCAGATCTACTCACTTTCTCAGTAGGAGGCGGCGGGACAGGGCATTGCACTCTGGCCACCTGCTCAGCTTCTTGTACATGGCCATGCACTTATTTTCCCGACTTTGAATCTCACTGGTCAACTTCTCTACAATTAAAATTTTTACAAGCTGTTAAGTTGATTTCATTTCTGTTCAGAAAGCAGAATAAAGTCTAAACACAAGAAGGAAGATGTCACCAGCTCTGCGTCCACTTGTGCCTATGCAGGTACCACTTTTTCCCTTTCTCTTCCTAATAAAATCTGAAATGTAGACTTTGCCTCCAGCCTGTATCTATGCAGGTGTCTCCATCTTAATAAATCTGCCCTTTCAAAATGCAGCTCTGTGCCTGTATCTATGCAGGTACCATTTCCTTTTTTACTAAAAAACCTTTAAAATGCAAAGAGAAAAAGTCATGTTTTCTAATTTACTCTTAGAAAAAGGGTCATTATTATATAAAAGCTACTTTCTTACTAAAAATGACTGATGAGGAAAAGTATATTTTAAGTACTAAACTTGTGCTGCATGATGACTTTTCTCTAAGAGACAAGGTTAGCAGGATGTACCGCGCAAGGTCCAGCGCACGGGTCCACTTGTGAGACCCGACCGCAGGCAGGGACTGACTGGTACATGTATTCACAGGCAGGCTTCCCACTCACACAAATCCAACAGCAAATACGCCTGGACCGAAGTGGGATGGTCAAGGTGAGATGTTAGGGAGAAAATAAAAATTTAAAAATAATCCAATCTTGTTTCACTAACTGAGTGCAGGAAAACTAGGTCTATATTTATGATCAAATTAGATATGCTTTGTCATTCAGTAAAACTCAGCAGACTGGGAATACTAAAAATTTACTACAGAAATCTAAATTTTAACTATCGGTCTACATAAACTATAAACTTGCTGAATAAAAACAAAAAGTCCTACTTATACCTATCTGCAAGGAGGCTGAAGTTAGAAAGTAACAAAAAAAAAAACACAAAAAACCTTTTACTTTTTTTCTGAAAACTTTTATTTTTTATTAAATTTTTTCTTACATCGTCATTTCCTCTCATATACTTAGAGTAATTATTCTTATCATTGCACAATTCAGTAAAGTATATAAATACTTGTGTGAAACAAAGTCTTTTTAATGACTATTCCTACTCACCTACAGTTTAACCACTCCCAGTTCTAAAGGCACAATCAAAAAAACAGGTTTACTAAAGAAACCCTAACTACAGATCCAGGAATTTCCTTTAAGGAAGTCATCAGAGATGTGTGTAAATATTTAGGAAAGAAAATCTACCATAAATCTCATAAAAACAAAGAAATGGCTAAGAAAATCTCTGAAGTTCTTACAAATCAATTTTCCAACAAAAAGGGAAGTATTTTCACAACCGTGGAAAAAGGCTAACTTCTTGTGAATCAGTAACATGACTAATCAAGTATTTTGAAATAGGAAAAGGAGAAGAAGCAGTTCAGAAAAGAACATTTATAGCTTTTAAACCAATGAAGAATTATATTCCCTCATACTTAAGAAAAAAAAAAAAGTAGCTTCTACTTAGAAACTCAAACTGCCTTCCAGAAAAAACTGTAAGCTGTTTTGATCATCATCTTGAGAAAGACAAAAAGCTTGAGTGACATTTAATAACAGAAATGTGCAAAGAAACAGGACATCTCACATACGGACAGTAAATATACATAGCTTCTTAGAATGTAATTTGGTTTGTAGCAAAGATAGTCCTTGCAAAGAGCCTAAATATCAAGGACTAAGTAAAATGCCTACATTTACACTAAGGAAGACCAAGCACGTAAGAGTGAGGAAGAGGGACATGGGTCTCAGAAATACTGTTAAGAAACCCAAAAATCAGTACAAGTATATGCAGAGCAAAGTTTAGAAACTCCAATGTGTGCCCTCCCTGGTGGTGCAACAGGTTAAAGCACAGCATTGTGATACTACTGCAACATGAGTTCTATATCCTCCAGGGAGGTGACCCACATGGCGTAATAAATATTTCAGTCCATCTGCCTGTTCTGCTCCCCATCTTGTCACTGATGAGTCCTCTCACCCCCAGCACCTTACACACCCATTCTGTATGTATACATATATAAATAAATCTTTTTTAAAAAAGGCTCAAATGCCTGATAGTGCAGCAGGCCAGTAGACAAAGAATGTTTATATATATTTAGAATATTAGAATATAAATCCAGATTAGAGAGCAACATTAACATTTAAAGATCTGAAAAGAAAAGTATTTTAATAGAAACATTGTGTAACTGAGGAATATAATTCTCTATGGGCCAGAAACAAGAAGTTTTCTTTCGTGGTTTAAAAAAAAACAGGAGGAGGGGTATTGGTAGATACGTTTTTTAGAAGGCTATATAGGAAAACAAACAGATCTGCAGTATAATTTTTCACATTCCTTGAACTTTCTCAATTTATGAATTATTTTCAATTAAAATTTATTTAAATAAATGTACAACATACAGAAAAATATCACAAGTGATATTTTTGTTTTTTCACTTTTTTGTATCTGTATGAGTAAGAAATTTTCCAACATATGTATTTTCATGTGTAAATGGGGGGGGGGGGGGACTTGTAAAATTACCTCCTAATTTTCCTCTGATGACATCCAAGGCTTCCTGGTACTTTCCCAACCGTTCCAGGATCATATAATAAAGCTCAACCTTAAGAAAAAAACAAAGTGCAACCACTGAAACATTTCAGTAATAAAGTCATTCATATGCTTTTTAAAAGAATACCATGCAGGCCCTCTCTGATAGGGCCAGGGGTTAAACCACAGCACCACAAAGCTATCCACAGCCTTACAGCAAGAGCTCAATCCTGACCCACATGGTGCAAAAGACCAGTCTCCCCTGCTGCTCCCTCAGCAGTGTAGTTCAAGACAGTCGGCCTGTTCTGCTCCCCGCTCTGTCTCTGGTGAATCCTCTCACCCCCCTGTACCCCTGTACCTCTGGCCTGTACCCCAGTTCTTGTATGCATAAATAAAGAAATCTTTAAAAATAAAGAAAGAACACTATGAGCTTAAATCAACAGTAAGAATCAGACAACAGTATGTCCCCTATCTATACACATTTCAGCCTGGAGTACGGAGCTGCAAACAGTGTTCATTATACATCAACTTGGGACTTCCAAAATTTCATGTTTATGCAAAAAAAATTCATGTTTGCCAACTCTTTAACTGGAAAAAGCAACATTTCATAATATTTTAGCAACAAACCAATGCAAGTACAAAAGCAGGACTTTAAAATTACTCACTTCAGGCCCTCCCTGGTGGCGCAGCGGGTTAAAGCACAGCACTGAGAATCTAAAGCCGCTTCCGCATGAGTTCGATTCCCGCCTGCCC